CCAATTGGATGCAAATGAGTGTTTACTGTGAAGCTTAAAGCAGATGGCAGCCTTGACAGATGTAAAGCCAGATTAGTTGCTAAGGGATACGCACAAAAATACGGGGTTGATTACTAAGATACATTTGCACCAGTAGCAAAACTGAACACAATTCGTATTATGATTTCTATAGCAGCTAACAGGGACTGGCCACTCAAGCAGTTTGATGTAAAGAATGCATTTTTAAATGGAGACTTAGAAGAAGAAGTATATATGGAAATTCCACCAGGCGCAAACATGCCAACTTGAAGGGAAATGAAGTGTGTAGATTAAAAAAACACTATACAGCATCAAGAAATCACCTAGAGCTTGGTTTGTCAGGTTCTCTCTAGTCATGAAGAAGTTTGGATACAAACAAAGTAATGCAAACCACACCCTATTCATAAAACATAATGGAGGAAAGGTAACAGTGTTAATAGTGTATGTTGATGATATGGTTTTGACTGGTGATGATTTATTTGAAATGGAGTTATTGGAAAGACATTTAGCAAATGAGTTTGAAATGAAAGATCTAGGATCATTAAAGTACTTTCTTGGAATTGAAATTGCTAGATCAAATCAGAGAATTTTTTTGTCACAAAAAAGTACATTTTAGATCTACTTGCAGAAACAGGAATGACAGCATGTAAACCAGCAGAAACACCAATTGAAATGAATCATGTATTGGGTTTATATCCTGATCAAGTACAGACTGATGTTGGCAGATATCAAAGGCTAGTAGGGAGGCTAATTTATTCATCACATACTAGGCCAGACATTGCTTATGCAGTGTTGTGAGCATATTTATGCACAATCCAAGTGAGGATCACATGGCTGCTGTGTATCGAATATTGAGGTATTTAAAAGGGTGTCCAAGGAAAGATCTGCTTTACTCAAAAAATAATAGTCCCGGAATTAAAGGCTACACAGATTCAGATTGGGCTGGAGATAAAACTACCAGACAGTCAACTTCGGGATATTTTACTTTTGTTGAAGGCAATCTAGTTACTTGGGAGAGTAAGAAGCAGAAAGTTGTGGCTAGATTGAGTGCAGGAGCAGAGTTTAGAGGAATGACACATGGAGTGTGTGAATTGTTGTGGATTAAAAGCATCCTACAAGACTTAGGAATCTGCTACAATCAGCCTATGGAGTTACATTGTGATAATAAAGCTGTTATTGAAATTGCCCATAATCCAGTTCAACATGATAGAACCAAGCATGTAGAAGTGGATAGACACTATCAAGAAAAAACTAGATCAAAAAATTATTCAATTTTCCTACATCAAATCTGAAGATCAGTTAGCCGACTTCTTGACAAAGACTGTATCAGGAAAAGTGTTTGAAGAAGCAATTAACAAGTTGGGCATGATTGATATCTATGCACCAACTTGAGGGAGAGTGTTGAAATGAGATAATATTTGCTGAGTTGTACAGTTGTTGGAATTTTAATCATTGATTACACAATTATATAATCATAGAAAATTTGTATTAAATAGATTAATTTTCTTATTTGCAGTTAATTGACATAATCATAGGAGTTTTGTATTAAATAGAAATAGTAACAGATTATTTCATTTCTTTATTCATAGCTGATTGACAGCTAATTTGTAATGGACCTAGAGTCCTCATTTATATATATAATTACCCCAGCAGAGGAAGAATAAACGGACAAAAATATTTATAATATGGCACTATTATTTTGACACTGACATATTAGAATACAGAGGCTGAGACCATCAATACAAAGCTTATATTGATTCCACTAACTAGCTAATAATATTTCTTGTAGATTTTGACAAAAAATCAACAGTCTTTTCTCTAGCATAAAAGCGATTTCATTTTCAGACAAGAACAGGAAAGTTAAAGATAACAATTTTTATTTTTATTTTGAAGAAAATCACTCGGAGTGCAGCAATTGAAATCCTTTCAACATAAAAGCCAAAAGCAGATTTTATAACAAAATAACCATAATTATTTTACTATTAATTAGAACTTAAATAATATTTCCACATTTGCATCCTTAACTACTGAGATTCTTTGAGGTATTTTCCAATTTTCCTTGCATTAAAATTTATATCACGTCATTCAAACCACAACTTACTGTTAACAAAAATTTAGAACGCAGCAAGAGACAAACTGAAAAACAGATTTGACTACTTACAATTAAAGATGACATCCCCAGGGAAAGGCAAAGGTGTGAAAGGAAATGTAGTATAACTACAAGTATAAATATGCACCTATCAAAAAACATTACTCCAGTTCATTTCATGAGTAGGCTTTCATGCAATATCAGAATTTATATCATATACTTTTTTGTGTGTATATTTTCTGTTTTTTCTTCCGCTTTTTATTTCAAGGGGTGGCAAATAGTAAAGCTAGACTATACCTCGTTGGATTTTGAGATGGGGCCCAAAGAATGAAGATCAGTAGCAATAAAACATAAGCAAGCAAATTCATTTTAATTTTAGCATGCTAACCGGACGAAAAAAAAAAAAAAACAAATAATGCCAGAGTTACCCACTTTCAACATATCACTTTATTAATCAAACCAATTTATAATCAAAGACTTAGCTATCTATACTTAATAATAATTCCTCTCAAAAATCCCTTAGTTAATTATAAGTAGATTATTAGTTAAATAAATTTGATAGTCCATCAAAACGATACAGAGATAATGTACGTAACAGAGTGGGAGAGTAGAATAGTAAAAGTCATTGTGTGAAAGAATTGAGAGCAAATCAGGGTATCAGACTTTCGTGAATAGTGAGAGGTGTATTTAAACACGAATTTATTCGATGGTTCAAAATCAGAAAAATAAATTAAGGAATTTGTCCCTCGGCACTAATTAATAAATTCAAAATGAAAATATTAGTTGAAAAGTAAAAGCATTTAATCTAGAGAACTAAGAAAAACATTTAACACTTTATTCTTTAAGTAATTAATATGATTTAATAAAAATTATTAAATGCTACTTAAACAATGCTTTTTTTTTTTGGTAAATACTTAAACAATGCCTTTTAAGTTTTAAGTGACTGCATAACAAGACCTACAAATTAAACTTAAACAGTAAATAACCAAAATAAATCAAACCTGTCGTTCAAGAATTTATAAAAAAGAAAAAATACCATAACAAAATAAGGAGCATTAAAGCCAGGTCTCCGTCAAGTTTTCCATCAGCAAAATTCATATGTTCCCGGTTGGCCACTATTTACATTCATCCCACTAATACAATCAAATCACACAAATGCATAAGATTCCAACACATCATTATTAAAGCACTAATGCACAAATTCTACAAGAAATATATAAATGAAATAATTTATATATATTAGTGCCTCAATTTATATAGTGAACCTCAATAGTTAAAATCGTAGTCCCTCACAAATTTAAAAAATACCCACATTAATCTCAAAAGGACTAAAATAGATCCACTTTGAATTTTACAGGGACCAGGCGACTAATTTTTTTTTTTTGTAGGAGACTAAAGTAAGAACTATATTTTTTGTTAAGGATCCTATATATGAGGTAGGATCATTTGACACCGGTGTCAAATTTGAAGTTTGACACCTCATCTGAAAGCCGTTAGATAAAAAAAGATCAACGACTCAGATTTGCAAGCATGTGACGCCATTGATCTTTTTTGATCTAACAGCTATCAGATGAGGTATCAAATTTGAAATTTGACACCGGTGTCAAATGATCCTACTTTTATATATATATATATATATATATATATATATATATATATATATAAGGTGTGGAATAATTCCCAATAACCAGCAACTCAACTTGGGGAAAAGGATGTTGCCCAAGATGAATTTGGAACCTACAGAAGATGCCCCAACAACTTCCCACGGCATTTAGCCTAGACAAGCAGGACTGGTTTACAATGACGAAGGTCTCCACACATTGCACATATTGTCAATCAGTATTTGGTGACAGCTTTTATTAAGATTCCAAGATGTTTAGAAAAATAATGATATGTGAATTTCTTGTTTTACATTGTTCCTTGAGGAGCGTTTGGTTGAGGAGAAAATCTTTGAATACTAGAAAAATATAATTACTAGGGATATATTAGAAAAGTAATTTTGGTAGAAATATCGAAAAAATGTTGTTTGGTAAGGTTGGTCAAAATTTTATCAAAAAAATTGGGTAAAACTCTTGTTTGGTTAAAGGTTAAATATTGATGAAAAAATAAGTTGCAACTACCAAAACAACCCTTTTACAAATTTTGAAGAACTAATTAAACACAACAGATGCCACCTCCATCCTTTACCATTTTTGCAATATACGTAGGAACACATGATTAGATGTGCAGCTTGAAATCATTGTAAACCTTGACAAAACAGTAAAAAAGTAAACCAACTAAAGTGGATTCAATGCTTCACATCTATTCTCAATCACAGTATATGGACAATGTACCCAACAACATAAAGCACATGGCTCATTACGGGTCTCTTTTTTGGGCTGTTATTGACACAATCCATGGCAACCTTGACCATCGTAACTGCTACAAAATCGTGTTCCTTATCTGAACAATCAGTGAATGAAAACACATAACGAAAAACAAACCCAAAAATAATATGATAAGCAAAATAGAACAAAATTAACCTCAGAGACATTAGTTGTAAAGAACAGGATATGTTAGATGAGCTGTAAATCTGCAAGTAGATTTGGTAGGAGATTATGAGGGTATGTTTGTCAACATATTTGTTGCTTTTTGTTCCACTTAGCCGGACAACACAATACCACATGCCAAGTGGTATTGTGTGCCAGTGTATTTTGTTGCATTTAACAGGCGAACATCAATTGCTGGGCAAAAACGTTTGGTGGGAAAATATTGCAATCTCTTCTACCAAACATGGTAAGACTAGATACCCAATCTCAAATGTCTATCTATCTCCTAAGATACCTCCTACCAAACACTATCTTAGACATCAAGTGTGTTCACCCTTCACTACAGCCTGAAGATGTCCCTCGTGGTTTACATAGCTAACCAATCTCACTGTTTTAAACAGACAACTCACTCATCAAGATCACACAAAAAAAAAAGTTCCCAAAGCTTTGTTTAATCCCAAAAATAATAAGACCCAAAAGTCAGGTCATTGGCTTTAAATAATAATGACCAATAAGATTAAACACAGCCAAGCACTCATTTATTCATTACAAAACGATGGGAGTGTGGAATGAGGAGAGAAAGGCTCAAGAAGAAAAAGGCTATAATAAAAAATGACTATTTACAAATTCTTGCTACCTGTTCATTTTCACCATCCCTCTTCGAAAGAAATAAGTGCCAAAAGCAGACAGAACATGACACCTCATACATGGCTTCGGACCTTTTGAGCACCAGATCGGGGAATAGCCAAGATAGCTATAAGTCCACTGACAAGGGCTGCAACAGCTGCCACAGCAAAGGCTGGGGAATTTCCTCCACCAAATAGTTGATCCCATGGTCCACTTCCCAGGGACACTACTATCTGTTTAAAGCATGATAAATAAGCAACTCATTAACTTCATGAACACAATTCCTATTCACAGAAACGACTCTATTTAAAAAGTTTTCATTGAAACACAAGTCATCGTTAGCTTAGAACTACATACAGTATGTTTGGAACAATTAAACAATGGGAACTGATTTGATATATAAATAAAATTTTGTTTGGGTAGTTAACTAGTAATAATCAAAGGGGGTTGGTTCAAGTGGTACATACTTGATTCCGTTTAAGCAAGGTCTTGGGATCAAGTCCTTGTGAATGCAAAAAATCCTCTTTGGGAGAGCTAGCCCCACCATGATGTGGATGATTCCGGCTCGAACAGGATTGTCTCCAGTTGAGGATACCCGAAGTTTATCCAAAAAAAATAAAAAATTCACCCAAATTTTGTTGAATTTGATTTGCCAACAACTTTTCCCTCATTGATTTACTTATTTTATTTTACCTATTTTAAGGGCAAGAAAGTAAATTTGTTAAAGCAAAATGAATTTCGCTTATCTCTAAGGCATTTTGTTGGAAAGTATCTTCTATTGAGGGACTGCCTATGCCCTAAATAATTAGGAATTAGTTTGTACCATTTTCCTTAATTTCCTAGATTCCTAGTTTCCTAATATTAAAGATTGTAAATCATGCATAAACATAGGAAAAATGTTTGTCATTTTGTATCATTTTAATTGAAACGGCTGTCATTTTAAGTGTAGTGTAATTCCAAATGATAAACATTTTTTCCATAAATATAATATTGTACTAAGAATTCAATCAAGTAATTCACAAATCCCTCTTCTATTTGGTAGCAGAGATGGTTCATTCTTGACCTGCCTGACTTCTAAACCTAAAACAGGTCCGGTCAAAACCCTAAAATAGTCCATGTCCTCCTTCCAGCCATCATGTAGCCTGGTGAAACTTGTCCTTGCAACTGAAACATAATCTTTTCTGTATCTTCTCATGTAACTTAGCTTGTTAAAGCCTTCTGGATCTGCCACGCATGTTGTTGCCAGAGCTCTACATTGCCTTTGCATTCAAGAAATTATGGTTGGAGTGGTTAGTCCGTATAGCATAATTCCCTTTGGGAATTTCGGTAGTGAAGTTGGACCAGAAACCACCACCTCTGATGGTGGTTCGGACTCAGAGCTGTTGAGGGCTCTGGTTAGATATGTGCATCTGAAGTTTGGCCCTAGTCCTCCTTTCATGCAGATCCAATTAATTCCTACAAGAAACTGAGCTTGATCCATCAAGTGTGCCAAAGACTCGAGCCTATGTAACTTCAGTTTTGCTCCCAGCTCATGTTGGAGTCCGTTCAACCATATGCCTTGGAAAGTGTACAGAAGAGGTCCTGCAATCCTCTCGAACTCCTCCATGTAATCACTCACGATCTCATAAGTACCTCATACTGGTTCTGATTTGGGGATGGTTGAAAACTTCTGATTATCTATGCTCTAAACATGGCCCATGTAGCATTTTCCATTTGTCTTTCCCACTACTAATACCAGTTCATTGCGTATCCTTCCAAGATCAGGATCACTGTTGGCAACCACTCCGCCTCCTGCATGGCATTCATACGAAAATAATGTTCGACCCAATTCACCCACCAGTATGCGTCGTTGCCAGAAAATACCAAAATCTCTAGCCTTTGTCTGTAGTCTTCTGTAATTTTGGGACACATTTCAAACATACCTCTTGCATAGTTAGATGTCATGGATCTCCGTCAGTCCCCCTCGCTTGTGTAACCTTCCATTTCTCGCCGGTCAGTTCCCCTGAAAGCCCCTAGGAGACGGTCTCTTCTTGAACTTCCTCTTTTTTCCTGGTGTGAGTTCCATGAAGCTTCCTCTAGTGCACAAGCTTCATTTTCCGTGCTTCCATTCATTCCTTCATTCTTCGCGTGTTCACCATCCACGGCTCCCAAACCGGGAGCTTTGATACCAGTTGTTAGAAAATAAATTTCATTCACACTTAATTTGAGACGAAAGTGGTATATTGAATTGTAAAATGATAGTACAGGATTTCGAGAGGCCCTATCTTTCCCAAGACATTATCTAGAAAATATTTGCTTGCCTTCTAAACTCCCCTCAGCATCTGTTTTTATGTTTTCTGACTTACCATGCAGTTACAGTAGGTTTTCCCGCCAAAGATCTGAGAAACTCCCTTTCCTTGCCTTGCCTAGGATTCTAATACCCAGTGGCCCTTCCTAGAATACACCTTAGTGATAGGTGGCTTCCTAACAAACACATTCAATTTTACTGGCTTTCAATTTTCATATCCATGTTCATGTTTCTTAGTCAAAGGTATACAACACTAAATTGCAATTATACCACAACATGAAAAATACTGCACCGATGATATTATTCAGTAAAATTCCTTCTCGAGAGAGACCTAAAACTCCTGTTTTAATTAAGGAAAAATCATAGTAAGGGACCACAGATTACAACATATTACTACCTCTTGCCACCCATGATATCAACAGACATCCATTCAACCTCAATTATTTGAATATTAAATTTTAGTTTTATCAAGTGGCATAAAGCTGCACTTATTCACCTCAAGACATAATGTCCAATTCAAGATAACATTTTAAATTATAGAAGTTGACCGAGTTCAAATGAATATCTATTAAGATTATGCTTACACTAGGTTGGAACAAACAACAAAATAAAGGTAATTTAACAGTAATCACATATGAAAGGAATTTAAAAGAAGTACCTGCGGGATCACTATTGCCAGATTTAGAACACCCATTGATAACCCTGTAAGTACCAACAATCCATATAAATAGTTCTACGGTCACATCTTCAAGAAAGAATAAACAAGGTCATGAATAGAAGCACACCTTGGCCAAGTCCCAATGGCTCAATATGCGTGGAAATTAAAGCATATGGAACACTGTAAGTGATCTGTAATAAATAATTTAAATCAGATTAAATTAATCAAATAGTATATATACTTTCAACTTATTTACTATTTATGGGAATATGTACAAATTTGCCTTCTGACACATCATGTTACTCGAATAGAAAGGTATCACAAGGATTGTACCCAAAAAATGAGAGAGGTTATACAAGAAATGTCATGAACTAAGGAGACTAAGCAGCCAAGAGCAAGTCAATTAATACAATTCACATGCATTAGTCATATTATTTCGAAAAGAATGCAAGACAACAGAATTTGAGTCTTAGTTTTAGTGGGCATAAGAAACATAAAGGCTGCCTTCAATACTCACAGGAAAGGAACAATATGCTTTTATTAGTAGATTAGAGCAACTTACTGCCAATGGGAATCCAAGAATGGTAAAGATTACCAACGCAGCTATCACAATGCCAATTGGTGGTGGATCTTTACCTACATTGCCAATGCTATTTGCCACATAGGTTACTACTAGTATTGCATAAAAGCAAACAGCCATTAGGATATTTGAAATTCCCCATACAAAACCAGCCCCTCGCTTCCTGCATAACCACTCCATGAGCAATGATGTTATTCCAAGAACTACTGAATTAAGCAATAAACCAAGAGCTCCCATTCTAACTCCAGTATCATAAGTAAGGCCTACATTTGGATCACCTCCATAAATCTCTCGACCCATCCAATCAGTATCGAAGAGAATAAATGGGAACCACCCAATCCATGTAAGAGCAGTAACAGACAGTATTATCCATATAGGAGCTGAAAAATATTTGAATATCCCAAATAGTTCCCACATGAAAGCTTCTTCTCCACTACCTGACTCCCCTGCCCCTTCTTCTTCAGCATGGGCAGCCACACTTGAACTTAGAGGCACTTCTTGAGCTGCCATGATACTGACATATGTGGTGACCGCAATGAAAGCAATGTCAAGAAAGAAAGCAGACTTGAGATTTGCACAACTAATAGAGCATGCAGGGTTAAGCGTGAAAGTAAAAATCTTGTACCAACCAGTGTACGATCCAGTTGCATAACCAAGAATATTACCAGTGGCCATAAATAGGGAGTAATAAGCATTTGCAACACGTGTCCTTCTAGCATCCTTACCTAACATTTCAAAGAAGAAAAAGATAAAGACAAGAATGAAGTGGTGCATCAATATCTTGTTTGCTTTCCCAATTGATCACTTTCATTTTCATAACAATTACGACTAAACTTAATGGTTAGATTTTTTTTTTTTTTGGCGGGGTGGTGTCGAGGGAGTCCACAACGAGAACACTTTGATTCTCTCTCTCTCTTCCAAACGAGCATTTTATACGTCAAAAGTAGGAGATAGAAATACTAAGGCATAGAAAAACAAATAAAAATACTGAGGCATAGAAAAGCAGATAACGTCTTTTAAAATTTATTCAGACATCTAGGTCAACTTTGCAAAGCAATTTTCGTTAAGATATGATGAAAATAACAGATAATTACTATGTCCTTTCAATTTAATTGAGAACTGTATTCAACAGCAAATTTAAAGTAGAAGATCATCTGGACAGAGGACCTATGATATCAATCGATGCAGAACTAATCATTTTCAATTAACCTACCTAAACCCCACTTTTTAAATGGGATCTGTCAGACAACCCAGACTCAGACCCAGACCCCTTATCACTAAAGTATGTTCTAGGAGGAATTACAGGGGTTCAAGTTCAAACCATCTCAACTGATGGCATAACTGTCATGGAGAGGTTGGAGGGCAGTTATACAATAACTGCTTGTAGTAAAACTTCTAGTAGTAGCAGTTTGGAATTTGTAAATTAATGTAGGAATGTTGTTATACAATAAATTCTTTGTAGTCGAAACTGCTAGCAGTAGCAGTTAGAAATTCATAAATAGAAGTAGGAATGTGTATGTAAGAGGATTTTTCAGGAAAGAAGACAACGGAAGTTGCTAGGAAAGACATACCTCTCGAATGCATGTTTAACTCTGTAATTCTGTCATTATGTATCTGAGTTCATTAAACCAGAGAACCTAAATAAATCAAACATTGTGTTTTAATGTCGATCTGGGAGCTTTGATTGGTACATAACTGCCAAAAGATGCAGGCTCGCTTGAATGCCTTGGAGGCCGCATTGAACAATGGCAAAAACGGGCAAGCCAAGCAAGAAACTCACATGCAGAAATTACATGGTTTTTGTAACACCATTGTATCGGATCGTGATATGGTTTTTATGAGTCATTTTTGGGCAGAAATTCTTAAACAGACAAGGACTTATGTCAAATTCACTTTAGTATATCATTCTTAATCCAATAGACAAGCCAAGGTGATTGATAGGTGCTCGGAGACTTATCTAGGGTGTTTTTGCAGCCCTCAACCAAAATAATGGCCGCATTGGCTTTTGTAAATAACCAATTTAACTCAAAAATTTAGGCTTAATTAATTATTAATTAAATTCGGGGGGGGGGGGGGAAGATTGAAACCGGGACACCGAGGCTCTGATATCATGTAAAGAAGCAATTCAACCCAAAAACTTAAGCTGCTGGGTGAGGTTACATTAACGAATTTTATACTTCTGTAACAGCTCCATTGGGCGGAATATTGGTATAATATCAATTGTCACAGCTCCGCTAAAATGACTCTGTTAAAGGCATTGTATGGAAGGGAAGCTCCAACTTTATTTCGGGGAAGTCATCAAATTGTTGTGGATGAGGTGAAGAAATTAATACAAACAAAACCGAAGAGACTTGCAATTGGAACTTGGAGATCAAGTTTAACTTAAAATCCAACCTTATCGCCTAAAATCTTTGGCTTGAAAAATTAATGAGAAACTTAATTCAAGATTTTATGCACCGTATAAAGTATTGTAGAAGAATGGAGAAGTATCTTATAAGTTGGAGTGAAACTTAGTCCAACTATATTGGGTTAAAGTTTGATCTGTCTTCGTATGTGGAGTAGGCACACTGCCGAACCACGTTAAACACCTGGGTCTTAGGGGTGTGTCATTTTATTTCCCCTCTTATTTTCTCTATCTCATACTGTGTTAATTCCGATCCAATTTTATATTTGTTGTTCTGCGCATAACATTTCCAAATCGAACCCCAAATTTACTATTTAGTAAATAATTCAAGAAAGAAGGTTCGGTAAATTCTAGTCAATATAGTAAATACTCATGCTGAATATGGTCATAGTTCAGTGAACCAGTCAACTGCAAGATAAATAGGTGAAATCATGCTATAACAGCGAGATAGCAGATGATTAACATAGCAAGAGGTAGCTTGATTTTCGTTAAATTATATTAGTTGCTGGCACGAATTTCATCCATGTAAAATCAATCAGGGATTGCAAATTTAATAATCTGAGAAAGGAGAAGTAGAAGAAGAAGAAGAAGAAGAAGAGCTTACGAGTGAGATCAGCTAGCAAAGCTCTACAAGGACCTTGAGTGACGTTGTTAGCCACATCGAGAATCCAAAACCCGATAACGAAGAAGGTTATGGCCCAGGGCCGGTTACTCTCGGTGTCGCCAAGCCACCATCCGATGTCAGCGGCGTAACCGATTATGAGAACGGCGACGACGATCGATGCAGCGCCGACCAAGATGAACGGTTTCCGGCGACCGAACCGGCTGGTACACCGGTCGCTCATGTGGCCCACCAAGGGCTGAACGAATAGGCCAGAGACTGGGCCGCAGAGCCAGACGATGCTGGCCCATTGATGAGGAATCCCAAGCTGCTGCACATACGGCGTGAGCAGAGACAGCTGCAAGGCCCAACCAAACTGAATTCCACTCGCCACCGACGCCACCCGCAGCAACTGCCCGGATGTTCAAAATGGAAAAAGGAAGAAGAGAATGAAAATTTTAAGTTAGAAGAAGAAATAACGACTTTTTTTTTGAGAGGGAAAATAAGACGCTGAGTAACAGTGATATATCAAGAAAGAGGAGCAGTTTTTTTATTTCTTTTGAACGTGGAGAAAATTTTTTATGCATCACGTGATACAGTTAACAGAATTGAAACTTAATTGTCTTAATAACATAGTTTGAGGTGGTTAATTGTTGAAATTAAAAAGTAAAGGATGATTAGGTAAGTATAGGGTGCTAAATTATAATTAACCTTCGACGTTGATGATTTCATCCGAGAAGTGGGGTGGTTGCTATGGGGACTGCAATCGTGCAATGCAACACATAACAATGTCTAACGGTTAAAACGACTAGGGAATTAGATAGGAACGGGTTTGTTTTCAATGTGTTTTATTTTGGGTTGATAGTAACATGTAAACATTAGATAGGAAGTGTGTCACATAAAGCTTGGATAAAGAAAGAAAATGAGTGGGCCATGGTAGGTTTATTTTCTTCTCTCCCATTGCTCTAATTACGTAATAAGAGTTGGTTTGAAAAAATGGTTCTCTGATTAGATGATTTCTATGACCGGCAGCACTGCAGGCCTTTCATTGGACCGTACCTGGCTTTAGCTTTCAAGGGTATTATTATTTATTACTTAATGTGCCTGGTGTATTTTCAATTGTACAATATTATTAAAACAAGCCTATTAATGAATTTATTATAATTTCGTTGTTCGTTTGTGATGTAGCGTAACTGGTGTCAAAATAGCGTAACTGGTGTCAAAATAGCTACAATATTATTAAAACATGATTTGCTACGTTTATTTAGCTACGCTTGAAATGTAGCTAAATTAGCCAACGTCAAGGTACCTACTGGCACCAATGTGGCTCCATCAATGTTATCAATGTTACTATCATATCTTAACCGTTGATTTTTGTCAATCAACGGTTATTATTTTTACAAATTAAACTCATTAATTAATTATTAATTCGTAATAAATGATAACTGTTGATTGGCGGAAACCAAAAGTTAAGATATGGTAATAACATTATATGGTAGTAACAATATCATATCTCATTTCTTTTACAAGTAATAATATTTAAAAAAGAGATAAGATATTATTACTACAAATTAATGTTGCTACCACTTTATTTCACCATTAGATCGATTATGTTCATCTAACAATTATATTTATTTTCATTTTTGAATAATTATAATTCCCTATATTTAATGTGAAAGCATTAAATATGAAGAATTATAATCATACAAAGGTAGAAATAAATATAAAGTATTGAATATAAGAGTTCTTAATGTGGTCAATTTTTATTTTTATTTTAATGGCAATGTTTAAAAAATAAAATGTTTGCGTTGCAATTGACGTTTTTCTCATACTTGTATCTCTTTAGATCTTTGTATATTGATTTGCACTTTCCCTCAATACAAGTTCACTGTAAAAGAAATATACTCTAATTTAAAGATAGTTTTTTTTGTAAGGGCCCGTTTGATACAAGGGTTTTTTAAGATTCCTTGAAAACTGAAAGTGATAATCTTATTTATTCACGTTTGGTACAAGATTTTTAAAATTTTCTCGAGAATCTGATTTTCTCGAGATATTTTGTGTGTAAATTTTTAAAAAAAAAAACATTCAGGAATACCATCCAAGAGGTGGTATTTTAGGATTTCTATGGAAAGGAAAAATTTAATACAACTAAACATAGCATCAAGAAAATTAACTCAATATTTTCGAGAATATGTTAGTCTACCAAACAACCTTTTGGTAACATTCTCAGAAAATTCATTTTCTCATCATATTCCTATAAATCGTGATTCTCGGATAAAAAAAAAAAATTCTCCTCTACAAAACGTTCCATTCAGGATTGAAACTAATGAGTTGGAGGTCAGGAGGAGGAGGAGTAGGGTCTTTGGTCTTATACAGCAAAGTGAGACTGGAAAAAACATTCCCCCGTGTTGTTTGCATGCTCTTTAATTATTTTGGTTACATGATAAAAGTTTTTGCGGCAATCACAGACAGACATAAGTAAATACACATCAGTAAATACTATGAATTCATTATTAAGTACATAAACCAACTCTTATTAAGTACCTAAATCAACTTGGGTGTATTAGATTAGGATTTTAAAAGATTTTTTTGAGATAAAAAATCTCATAAATTTTAAAAGACTATTTAGAATTTGAGGAACTTTGAAGACTTTTTTTACAATCAAGATTTCATAAGATTGGATTTTAAGGGATTTTAATAGAATTTATAATATTTGAAAGGACAATCATTAGATGCACAGAAATCAACGATTAAGATTTGATATAAGACTTATTATTCTTACACCGGTGTAATACATATATATGTGTGTGTGTGTGTGTGTGTATAGGGTTTAGTGTGTCCTTTTAAATGATGTAAGTTGTGTCTTTTTAGTGACTTACACAAAGACTGACCGGTCATATTTTATGTAAATCTGAAAAGTTACTTTTTTTTTACTTTACACGTCAATGATGTGACTGAGGAGAGAAAAAAAAATAACTTTTCAGATTTACACAAAATCTGACCGATCAAACTTTGTGTAAATCACCTAAAAAGACTAAAAGTGTGTATCCTTTTAAATGATACTTCTTTTTCCCATATATATATATATATGTTATTCTATTTTTTTCATGTCTACCTTACTTATCACTCTCTAATATCGTTAGATGAGGAGAAAGAAATGATAAATATTAGTTGAAATTCTGATTTAATGGTGGTGGAGAGTGATAGATAAGGTAGACATGAAAAAAGATAGGTAAAATAACTTATCTCGCACGCGCGCGCACACACACACACACACACATATATATATATATAATTTCTCCTGCTGAATTAGTGACTGATTAATCTAGAATCCTAACTCTAAACACAATTTCACTTAGGGAGTCTTTGGTACAAGAGATATATATATTTTTATCGGAAAAAAAAGATTTCTAGGGATATGGTAGAAAAATATTTTGCCTGTGAAAATAACAAAAAAGTGTTTGGTAGCCCAAAATATTACCGAGAAAGTTAGGTTAATTTGACTAATGTTACGTTTGGTTGATTGTAAAATATTGATGGGAATGTGAATCGAATTTATCAAATTACCTATCATTTTTGAAAATATTATATGTCAGCCATGAAACAAGAGGACTTTTGCTCTCAAAATGTAAAAATCAGAATCCGAATTCAAGAGAGAAAAATACCATGTATAGGGAGGGATTTTTTTTTTCAAACTGTAATTACAAACTCGAATGCCGGGAGAATTATTTAGCTGGAAATTTCTTATGTTTTCTGATACTAAACATGGTAAAAAAAAAAAACTTATCTTCATTTTTCCATCGTTCGAATTAAAATACTCATACCAAATACCTCTTGAGCTTAACTATGAGAATTGAGGAGTGGTGTCTTAGGCAAGGGTTGAGAACGAGGGAGATATTTTTGAGGGCTCGATTTCAAATGTCGGCGAATAGTAAAGGAGAGTAACTATAATAGGCGAATATGAGCGTCAAGACCAAATTTTAGTATGTGTGAGATGGGTATATACGTGGAGGAGATAGATGATTCCTTTTTTTTTTTTAATTAACTATGTATATTTTTTATGATTTTAAACAATTTTTATATTTGAATATGTATTTTAAACTTTCTTTAAATATGTATTTGAATATGCCAACAAGTTTTTAATTTGCATGTTATATAATCCGGACAACGGCGCCAAAAATTTGTGGCGACTCGACAGGTGCACCGGTCGTTAAGTAATAAAAGTATACCGGAGTACGAGATTGTTCCCACGAGAATTGAGTTTCAAACACTAGCTCGCTAATCGCAGTTTAGTTGGACAATCAATATTTAGATGAAGAAAATTGAAATTAAAAAGAAAACAATTAATAACGTGCAAATTAAAATTCAGAATTAAAAAACAATTGGAAAGATGATTAATTTAAAGATTAAAAACAAGCGTAATTAGGGTTTCGACTTCCCCCAATCTCCTCTATATGTTATGAATTAAACTATCAAGAATCTGTTCTTAAAATATTGCCAATCAATTCTTTCTAAGTTAATTAGGGCTCAATTCCTTGTTACCCTAAATCTATGTAATCTCAGAAAAAACCTAGTTCTTCGATTATTTCCCAAAAAAAACATGCATTAAGTTCAAGAATTCAAGATTGCGCAATTACCCTATGTCTATCCCTAGATCATAAAGATTGTAATAAATTTACCAAATCAGGGTTCATGCACCAACATCACTATTATCATACAATTTCCCTAAATCAATCTATAAGAAGTAAACTCATAGAAAATATTAAAGATAAATAAATTTATTCAATTATAAAAAGAAAAAAATTCAAAGACAATTTAATTTAAAGCATAAGATTCAATTGGATTCTATTTACCCTAACTACACTGCATAAAAGTCTAGGCTAACATACTAAATTTAAAAGCAAATGAAAAAAAATAATTCTTCAAACCTCCACCCAACGCTCCGCAACAGGATTTTTGCTTTTTACTTTATCCTTTTCGAAAGGATAAAATGGTAAGTTGGCATTTTTCTTACGAAATACACAATTACAAATCTCTGTCTTTTTCTGTGTGTTACAGCGAGTAAGCTTCATCAGTTTTGGCAATGGCAGTAGCGTTAGAAGCATCATTCGCGACCCCATTATTTTCTTCTAAGCCTCACCCTTCTCACAACGGTAACCTCACTTCAAAGTTTCAAAATTTACCCTCAAAACCCAACTTTCTTACCCTTCGCTGGCACCCCATTAGCCATCCTCCTTCTTGTGCTGGAAATGCTTCACATTCTCCTTCTCCCTCTCCACCTCAAGACCCGAACCCGGACACCAAGCCCAACCTTGACCCGACCCGAGACCGCCGTAGAGCCGTCAGGGTCGCCTGGGAGAAGCTGGTCCGTTGGTCCAGGTCTTGGCGCTCTAAGGCCAACACTGACGTGCTTCAACGCACCAACAAGGTAGGTTTTGGTTCCATTTGCTTTCTTTCTCACTCTTGTGTTTCTCTACGTCTTTTTTAAGCAATTGGCTATGCCATTTTTCCTTATTTATTGGTTTCTTTGGTGGTAATGTTCAATCTCCATTTTCACCATTTGTTGCACGGTTTATGATTTATTGTCCCCTTAATTTGAAAAAAGGTTGCTCTTGTTTCAATCAAGTTCTCTCTCTTTTTCTTGTGGTTTTATATCTGAATGTTGATAATGTAGTATGATGTTTAATTGTTTAGTTAGTCTGTGCTTTGTATTGGGTGGCGCTTTGAAATTCTTTGTAAAGAACCAATTCAACCCAAAAGTTTAAGCTGTTCGGTGAGGCTATGTTAAAATGGTTTTTATACTTCTCTAACATGTCCCATCACGAGAGTCAAGTACTTGAAGGGTGGACAATGCACAAGATCACTTATCCGTGCTAAATTTTTTTTACAAGACTTAATTAATTATTTATTTAATGGGGGCGGTGAGGATTGAACGTGTTAGAAATATATTGTAATTAGGGTTTCCTTATTTTGTAATTAGGGTTTCCTTATTTTGTATTAGGTCAGATTACATTAGATTTGGGCTTAGCCCATTAGTCTGTTTATATATTGTACAACCTTCATCAGTCAATACACAGATTATTTCAATGTTCCTCTCTTTTCTTGTTATTTTACATGGTATCAGAGCTTCGCCGCCCCCCACTTTCTCTTGTGGCGTTTCTTAGCACAGGTAGGCTGGGCCTGTTGCATTGTCCACTCTTCAAGCCCAATGGGCTCTCGTGTGAGGGGGCGTGTTGAGATATATAGTCCACATTGGTTGTATGAGCAACTAATGTGGAGTTTATAAGGCTTTGGGCACTCCCACCCTTTGAGCTAGCTTTTGGGGTGGTGTATCCCAAAATTCTTTACATGGTATCAAGAGCCTAAGGAACTTTGAATTTTTTTTTTTTTCCGGTGAACCTACTGTTCATCGTCTTTTAAATTTTTTTCCGGAACTATCTCGCTGTCAGTTTCCGGTACGCTTTTTCTTCCGCTTTCACGTTCAGGCTGCTGTCTTCGTCAACCACCACCGTCCGGTGGAGTTTTCCGGCAAACCACATACCGGCGTGCTCGTCTTGGAAGCGCGATCCCAACCGCACCGGCCACACCTCCATCGGAGCCCTCACGCGCCCGTGCAAGCTCCGGTCATCCTCTCCCCAAGGCGGCGCGTGGGACCTCCTCTTCGGCCGCGGCTGGTGGTGTTCTCCTCGTCTCCCTGTGACGGTTCTGGATCTGGTCCTGGTTCTGTGTTTGGACTTCGTTTTGTGTTGACGTCATATCCCTCTTCTACCGGTTAGTTGTGTGATCTGTCCTTTTTTTGATTATTTTTTCTCTTAATTATGGACCCTCCTGTCTCCAATGCTGGTACTCCGGCTGAGAAAAAGTCGGACTCTGCTATTTTTTCAAATTATATCCTTGCTCCGTTGAGTGTGGATAAATTGCATGGTTCCAACTATGATACTTGGTCTTCCGATCTGCGACTTTGGTTGGATGTGCAGAATTATACATCCCATCTCACCACTAAGGCTGAATCTGTGGCGGAAAAGGAGCGCACACAGTGGAAAATGATTGATGCTCAGCTGTGTAGCCTCATTAAAGCTACTCTTCATCCGTCTATCAAGCAGATTTTTCGACCTACTGTTACTTGTGAAGCTATTTGGAGTCAGGCAAAAGCTTTTGTGACTTGGTGGTATGAGAAACAAACATCAGGTCCTACTGCATCCATTGCTCCCACTCGTAATTCTGGTAATTCTTTTGCTGGCATATCTCAGTTGCACTCTATTGGCCCTTGGACTCTAGATTCTGGGGCTTCTGATCACATTTCTGGTAATAAGTCCTTATTCACTTCCCTTTGTACTATTGGTTCTTTTCCCACTATTATTATGGCCAATGGGTCTCTGGTCCAATCAAGGGAGATTGGCACGGTTCTTCTTTTACCTAATTTATCTCTGGATCATGTTCTATATGTTCCCGATTCTCCTTTTAACTTACTTTCTATTAGTCGGTTGACCAAATCCATTGACTGTGTTGTTTCTTTTACTAAAACCTCTGTCATCTTTCAGGATCGGAGTTCGGGGAAGGAGATTACCAAAGGATGTGAGTCTCAGGGCCTCTATCAACTAGTTCCCTCTTCTTCAGCCTGCTCCACTATGGATTCTCCTCTTACTATCCATGCTCGTCTGGGCCATCCTAGTCTTGCAAAGCTTCAGAAGATGGTTCCCCATTTATCGTCTCTTTCTACTTTAAATTGTGAGTCTTGTCAGTTTGGGAAACATACTCGTAGTACGTTTCCGAGTCGTCTTAGTCGTCAAGCTGTTTCTCCTTTTTCTGTGGTCCACTCTGATGTTTGGGGACCAAGTCGTCATTCTTCTACTTTGGGTTTTAAGTACTTTGTTACTTTTATTGATGATTATTCCAGATGTACTTGGTTATTTTTAATGAAAAAGCGGTCTGAGTTGTTTTCTATTTTTCAGTTATTTTATAATGAAATAAAAACTCAATTTGGTATTCCTATTCGTACTTTTCGTAGTGATAATGCATGTGAGTACTTATCTCATCAATTTCAACAATTCTTTTCATCTCATGGCATTCTTCATCAAACATCTTGCCCTCATACACCTCAACAAAATGGTGTAGCCGAGCGCAAGAATCGCCATCTGGTTGAAACCACTCGTGCCTTGTTAATTGATGGTAATGTTCCATACAAATTCTGGGGTGATGCTATACTTACTGCATGCTATCTCATTAATCGCATGCCATCATCTGTTCTCAATCATAAGGTACCTCACTCTATTTCATTTCCCCATCAAGCTTTATATCCTTTAACTTCACATGTGTTTGGTTCTACGTGTTTTCTTCATCATCTTGGTCCAGGTTTGAATAAATTAGCTTCCAAGTCTCATAAATGTGTTTTTCTGGGTTATCCTCGGTCTCAGAAGGGTTACCGTTGCTACTCTCCCACTTTACGTCGATACTTTATCTCGGCGGATGTCTCCTTTTTTGAATCAGTTCCCTTTTTTGGAACCTCTACTACTCCTGTGGATACTGATTCTGTACAGTCGTCCTTTCCAAGTGACTTTCTTTACCTTCCGTCTTTACCTGTCCATGTTTCTGACTCTCCTTCTATCACCTCTTCTGCTGATGAGATCGAGCATAGTTCGTCAGATGTATCTGTGGACTCACATTCAACTGCATCTCCTCCCACGACTTCGGTCCCACCTTCGAATAGTGACCTTCCCATTGCTCTTCGTAAGGGTACTCGTGATACTCGCCCTCCGGCCAGGTATACAGTCAATATTAGTTATCATCGTCTTTCTCTATCATATTTTGCTTGCCTTTCCTCTTTGTCCTCTGTATCTGTTCCTAAGACCACAGGTGATGCACTTTCACATTCGGGATGGAGACAAGCTATGATTGATGAAATGAGTGCTCTTCATCATAATGGCACATGGGACCTGGTGCCTCTTCCTTCTGGAAAATCTGTGGTTGGTTGCAGATGGATTTATGCTGTTAAGGTTGGACCTCGTCTTAAAGCTCGCTTGGTGGCGAAGGGTTTCACTCAGGTCTTTGGCTTGAATTTTATTGATACTTTTTCTCCTGTGGCGAAAATGTCTATTGTTCGCCTTTTTATTGACATGGCTGCTATTAGCCATTGGCCTCTCTACCAACTGGATATCAAGAATGCTTTTCTTCATGGTGATCTTGAGGAAGAAATTTATATGGAGCAACCTCCTGGATTTGTTGCTCAGGGGGAGTCAGGTCTTGTTTGTCGTCTTCGTAAGTCTCTCTATGGCCTCAAACAATCTCCAAGAGCTTGGTTTGGTAAATTTAGCAGTGTTGTTCAACAATTTGACATGACTCGGAGTGCAGCTGATCATTCTCTCTTTTATCGTCATTCTGCTTCTAGATCTATTTATCTGGTGGTATATGTGGATGATATTGTCATCACAGGCAGTGATCAGCATGAGATCACTCGATTGAAACAACACTTATGTCATCATTTTCAGACTAAGGATCTTGGGAAACTTCGATACTTCTTAGGAATCGAGGTGGTCCAATCTAAAGCTGGTGTTGTGATATCTCAGAGGAAATATGCTCTGGATATTCTTGAAGAAACTGCTCTGTTAAATACAAAGTCTGTTGATACTCCTATGGATCCAAGTATCAAGCTTCTACCAAATCAGGGGGAGCCCTTTTCAGATCCTGAGCAGTATAGAAGATTGGTTGGAAAATTGAACTACCTCACAGTCACTCGGCCTGATCTATTTAGCAGTGTTGTTTGTCGTCTTCGTAAGTCTCTCTATGGCCTCAAACAATCTCCAAGAGCTTGGTTTGGTAAATTTAGCAGTGTTGTTCAACAATTTGACATGACTCGGAGTGCAGCTGATCATTCTCTCTTTTATCGTCATTCTGCTTCTAGATCTTTTTATCTGGTGGTATATGTGGATGATATTGTCATCACAGGCAGTGATCAGCATGAGATCACTCGATTGAAACAACACTTATGTCATCATTTTCAGACTAAGGATCTTGGGAAACTTCGATACTTCTTAGGAATCGAGGTGGTCCAATCTAAAGCTGGTGTTGTGATATCTCAGAGGAAATATGCTCTGGATATTCTTGAAGAAACTGCTCTGTTAAATTCAAAGTCTGTTGATACTCCTATGGATCCAAGTATCAAGCTTCTACCAAATCAGGGGGAGCCCTTTTCAGATCCTGAGCAGTATAGAAGATTGGTTGGAAAATTGAACTACCTCAAGTCACTCGGCCTGATATTTCCTTTGCAGGTGCTGTCAGTCAATTTCTCAATTCTCCATGTCAAGAACATTGGAATGCAGTCATTCGTATTCTTAAGTATATCAAGGCATCTCCAGGGAAAGGCCTTGAATATGAAGATAAAGGTCATGATAAAGTGGTTGGGTACTGTGATGCTGATTGGGCTGGTTGTCCAACTGATAGGAGATCTACTTCTGGGTATTGTGTCTTTGTTGGAGGCAAATTGATTTCCTGGAAAAGTAAGAAACAAAGCGTAGTTGCCAGATCAAGTGCTGAAGCAGAATATTGCTCCATGGCGACTACTACTTGCGAGCTCATCTGGCTTAAACAGCTTCTCAGAGAACTTAAGTTTGGAGACACTGGACAGGCTACTCTCATTTGTGATAATCAAGCAGCTCTACACATTTCATCAAATCCAGTGTTTCATGAAAGAACCAAGCATATAGAAATAGATTGCCACTTTGTTCGAGAAAAGGTTCTTGCTGGTGAAATTAAAACTAGCTTTGTACCCTCTAATGAGCAATTAGCAGATGTGTTTACAAAATCTTTGAGGGTCCCTCGAATAGAGTTTATATGTAACAAGCTTGGTGCATATGACCTATACGCTCCAGCTTGAGAGGGAGTGTTAGAAATATATTGTAATTAGGGTTTCCTTATTTTGTAATTAGGGTTTCCTTATTTTGTATTAGGTCAGATTACATTAGGTTTGGGCTTAGGCCATTAGTCTGTTTATATATTGTACAGCCTTCATCAGTCAATACACACAGATTATTTCAATGTTCCTCTCTTTTCTTGTTATTTAACAGAACCTGTGACAATTAAGCTCTAATATCATGTAAAGAATCAATTCAACCCAAAAGTTTAAGCTGTTGGGTGAGTTCTCTAATAGTGTTTTTTGTTCAAAAAGGTGGTTGTGCTTGGAGGGGGTTCTTTTGGGACAGCAATGGCTGCTCATGTTGCAAATAGAAAGGCTCAATTAGAAGTCAAGATGCTCGTTCGGGATCCTCAAGTTTGCTTGTCTATCAATAAGAGGCATTGCAATTGGTAACCATTTTGTCTGTCTAACATGTGAGCTGTGATCATATAATTTTATCAGCAATTTCTCTTTGGTGACTGTTTGTGATTTTGCAGTAAGTACTTCCCGGATCACATGCTGCCAGAAAATGTAGTTGCTACTACGGATGCAAAATCTGCTTTGCTTGATGCAGACTTTTGCCTTCATGCAGTGCCTGTTCAGGTCATTCGATTTTGGTGTTATCTTTTTTCTTCTTCTTTAGTCTTTGCAGATTAGTAGAACTAGTAGTAGTAATTGATGCTTCAATGAAGTCTGAGTATTTGCAGTCAAGTAAAATAGATATGATGAATCTCAGCATTTGACATTCTTAAAAGATGCGACTGTTTGAATCTTTGTTTATGCTATTGCAGTTCAGCTCATCTTTTCTCGAGAGCATTGCTGATTATGTTCATCCAGGCTTGCCATTCATATCTCTTAGTAAAGGCCTCGAGCTGAATACACTGAGGATGATGGCTCAAATCATTCCTCAAGCACTAAGAAATCCTCGACAGCCTTTTGTGGCACTATCAGGGCCTTCTTTTGCTCTGGAATTGATGAATAAGCTACCCACAGGTGACAATGTAATTGCTAATTGCATATGTCGATTTTGTTTCTTCAGTTTTAAGTATGATGACTTGAAAGCCACTTGCAGCAATGGTGGTGGCATCGAAAGACAAGAAATTGGCAAACACAGTTCAGCAGCTACTAGCTTCAGATCATTTAAGAATCAGCACATCAAGGTACATGATCGTCTGTAGACTCATAAATGAAATCAAATTTTATATGTAAATGAATTCTTTTCTCCCTTCTGAACAAGTATGTCTTTCCTGCTTGCATTACACTTTCTCCCCTATTCCATGAGGCCCCGATTTTTTTTATTTTTTTTTATTTTTTTATGTATGGTATGTCAAACAACTGTATATACAGATTTTGGTTCAAAAGTTCAGCTTGTAATCTCTGATAACTCCAGTGATGTTACAGGAGTTGAAATAGCTGGTGCACTCAAGAATGTGCTTGCAATAGCAGCTGGGATAGTAGAAGGTATGAATCTTGGTAACAACTCAATGGCTGCTCTTGTCTCACAAGGCTGCTCAGAGATACGATGGCTTGCAACTAAGGTAATTGTTTCTACTAAATCAATTCTTAGAATTCTTTGCAAATAGTACAAACTATCACCTTTCTTTTCTTTTCCAAGTAATCATACCGAAGAGGACCAAATTGTTTTGCTCTTAAAATTGTCTGCTTGTCAACAATTTGACTAACTGTAGATGCAATGCTGTATAGAACATCTAACTTGCAGCAGGCATAGAATATACAATACATATAGTGCAAACTTTGGCATTTTCATTTGCACACTGCTACATTGACTATCGCAAGGTCAAGAATAGAGCTCTGATGCTTTATAGCCATTTCGATGGTCCGAGATCTTGGTTTTTCTGGTGTTGTATATATTAATTGGACATGAATACATAATAGTAATACCATCTATCGATGTACGCATGCACATCTATAGGTATAATTTCCCTCCCTGCCCCCCAAAATAACCGATCTGTGTATTTTGCTTATCTTATATCTCTTTCCTCCAATTATCTTTTTGAAGATGGGTGCAAAGCCGGCTACAATAACTGGTCTATCAGGAACCGGAGACATAATGCTTACATGTTTTGTGAATCTTTCGAGAAACAGAACAGTTGGTGTGCGTCTTGGATCAGGCGAGAAGCTTGAGAACATAATTAATTCCATGAATCAGGTATCTGAATAGTTTCCAAGTGTGCCTGAGCCTGATCATACCTGAAATTCTTGCAAGTGGCAGGGTTACTGAAATTTTTATCCTTACTATGTGCAGGTAGCAGAAGGCGTCTCCACAGCTGGAGCTGTGATTGCTTTGGCTCAGAAATATAATGTAAAGATGCCAGTGTTGACAGCAGTTGCTCGTATTATTGACAATGAACTTACCCCTAAGAAAGCTGTTTTTGAGTTAATGAGCCTCCCCCAGGTTATTCTGGCCCTCCTCTCAGAAAAACTATATTGGTCTTATATTGAGATTACAAGTTTGATTGATGACAATTTCTCATCATAGGTTGAAGAAGTATGAAACCTCCCAACACATCGATTATCTACTAGCTGCTTTTTAACTGCTGCTCGTAAGACATTTGTGTACTCAATTCTTTTCACCAATGTGCTTCTAGTGCTGAAGGCTTGGTGAGAACAATTTTGCACAATAGGGGTTGCACCATACAGTTATTAAAATTTGAGAAATGTGCAGATTTTAGAAAATGCATAATCTCACCTCAATATATTCTTCCTTTCCATGATTTTACTTGGAGGCTCAAATGTGTCACTCTATAATGCACTCTTTACCATGATTTTACTTGCACTCTGATGAATGTTTTGGTTTGTATGAGAAGGTTAAACATGTTCATGACCTCCGAGAAACTACAATTCCATGCATAGAAAATGATATTGATACCCTTGCTTCGAGAACTTCTGCTATACAATCAAATTATCCTAGAAAAAAAAATGTATTGACAAACCAGGTAAATAATAAATATCATTTAGAGTGCTTGCCAATAAACAAAGGTTCTTCAAGGGAGTAAATGAAATTCTGTTCTAGCGTGTTAGATTCAGCAAACACAACGATGATATCCTCTCAAATGGATGGGGGAGCAACCTCAACCTTTTATAATTGGTTATAACTTTTTATTCAATAATCCTCCAAATCCATGGACCTCTTCAAATATCCAAGGATAGGCATATTTGAATAATGTTTGATTGACAATGACTAAAAATTCTGAAAACATTAAAAGAATTAGCACTCAGCAGTTATAGCAACTTCCTTGTCCAATTATAAACACTAACACATTTAAAATATGTTGTAGAGGGCGTTTATATTATTATGAGATTAGTATTGTTATATAAATTGAATTATTGAATGGGCATATCATCATAGTTTCAGTTATTATTAGAGTCTAAAGCTTTTCTTCATAAGCCCAGACAAAAACATAATCATTCAGGGTTTTAAAAGTTTTAAAGACTTGGTTCTTCACAAACTTGTTCATGACAACAATGATTGTTGCTTGAATCGTTAATTGGAGGCGTTTTAATGCACGAGATTCTTTGGGGGCAAATGCAGAGCATATTGGCTTCTACGTGGACATCCTATGGTACGAATATAACAACTCATACTTTCAATAAGAGATCAAATTCTTAGAATGAAAACATTGTAGATACAAGAAAGATTTTATTTTTGATTGACTTTTGCCTCATACAAGCCCAGAAGCTCGTTATTTATAGATAACCTCTACACTTAGATACTAAGGTTAAGTAATTCACGCTCAATCCAGTGATTAACACATGATATCACAATTCACCCTTGGTACACATAATTTACAACCACAATTTTTACGTAATACACAACTACTTTATCTCAGCCATAACTTTTACATAGCTCTTCGCAGACTATACTATACTACAACTTTAACATGCTACTGATAAGGTGGAATCGCTTTATCAACTAGAGTCTTTAGGATAAAGATATATTCTCGGCATTCATCAAAGTTGATATTGCCAAATCCTACATACCATACCACCGTGTTTTTTCTTCTACCGTCTCTTTCAACAATGATTTCTTTAGTTTCATTACAATCTTTGTAAATAATCTTGCATGACGGAGTTATTTGCAACTGGTTTTTGGCTAGTACTAACCTATATGATATTGTCTCATTGTCTGTCTAACAAATCAATAGTATGTGAGTCATGCATGTGGAGTGTCACCTTTTTCACGTGACATTCATATATCATAATTATTAATTTCACGCTAATGAACTGATATGTCTCTTCTAATAAAGTCTTCTTTGGTCCAAACCAAAGGAGCTTACTCATGGGGTTTTAAAAATAAGGCCCAATAAACAATACTGATTGGAATGTTTTGTTGACAAAGAGTAGGTGCTAATTCTTTTCACCACTACACCAGAGGTGAAAACCCCATGAGGTAAAAACCCCAAACTATTCGACCTTAACTTGGAGTACATGTCTTAAATACGAAAAAGCATTGATTAGAAAAATGTATTCCCTGTTCTAGTGTTCTTTGCTGCTTCTTTTTTTAATTTGATGTTTTAATTAAATGTCAGTCATTGCTGTCAAGTATTATTATTCTCCATGAAGACTTGCTTATAACAAATGCCATGACAATATTTTCTTTCATTCTTCTATTTCTTTAACAATGCCCAATAGAGCATATAAAAGGGTAAGCAAAACCCTTTTATAGGTCGAAGTTACTTGAACCATGTTATGAGGTAAGTGTAAGTACAAGGATGATGCTACTAGGTAAGAACTCTGCCAACCTCACAAAGCACTCGTGCCAACTAGTTAGTTTTTTGCTTGCTATCCACTGAACACCCGTCCTGGAAAGCTGACAGAATCACCTACCTTGAAATTAGAAGTTGAATGATCTTAACAAATCCTTCCCTCACTCTTTCCCTCTCTTTTGTTGCTTCTCCATGTTGACACGTACCCTTCTTTTAAGCCCTCCCAAGTAATACAAAGAGGCACAGCAAAGAATAGAAGGCAAAACTTTAAATAATTCTGACATAATAGAATACAGAAGCTGAGACCATTACTACTCCCTCTTGTCCTCCTCTCTATCTTCTCCAAGTCCAAACACATGATGATCTGTAGGAATTGATGTCTTTCTTTCCTTTCTTTCTAGCATGATTGTCATATCCCCAGACACCTTAATTCCACTTCCAGTGAGTTTGATAGCCTCCTCATCAAAGTCATCCCCTGTCTCCTCTGAGTATGCATATCTGCACAATCACAAGTAAAATGTCACTATGTCAGTGTTAAAATCAAGCATAATTCTATAGTCCTGTACTACTATTTTCAATTTAGTTAGCAGTGAGTACACCTTTCAAAATCAGCCTTCAAACATCTCATTTCTTCTTAAGTTATTGTCTCAAACCTCATGGAGTATTTAGGTTTGAAATTCCTTTAATATACTTCAGTAACTTCAGTTGATTTTGGTTTTAGGCAAGCTTCAAGCTAGAATGTTTATCAAGTAATATACATCTGATACTTTTCCAATAAAGAGACAAAGAATCTAGCTTATATTGATTCCACTAACTAGCTAATAATATTTCTTGTAGATTTTGACAAAAAATCAACAGTCTTTTCTCTAGCATAAAAGCGATTTCATTTTCAGACAAGAACAGGAAAGTTAAAGATAACAATTTTTTTTCGAGAAAATCACTCACTGGAGCAATTGAAATTCTCGCAACATAAAAGCCATAAGCAGATTTTATAACAAAATAACCATTATTATTTTACTATTAATTAGAACTTAAATAAAAATTTCCATATTTGCGTCCTTAACTACTGAGATTCCTTGAGGTATCTTCCAAATTTTCCTTGCATTAAAATTTATACCACATCATTCAAACCACAACTTACTAGTAACAAAAATTTAGAACGCAGCAAGACACACACTAACTGAAAAACAGATTTACTACTTTCAGATCAAAGATGTCATCCCCAGGGAAAGGCAAAGGTGTGAAAGGAAATGTAGTAGAACTACAAGTATAAATATGCAATTATCAGAAAAATATTACTCCGGTTCATTTCATGAGTCGGCTTTTATGCTATATCAGAATTTATATCATATCCTCCTCCTTTTTTGTATATTTTCTGTTTTTTCTTCCGTTTTTTGTTCCAAGGGGTGACAAATAGTAAAGCTGGACTATACCTGGTTGGATTTTGAGATGGGGCCCAAAGAATGCAGATCACTAGCAACAAAACGTAAGCAAACAAAGTCCAGAAAGCCGGGATGATCCAAGCTCTTTGCCATAGTTCACTTAAAGGGTCAGATGCATTGAAGTACAACTGATACAAAAAAAAATCAGAGTCTATCAGCATAAAAATAAAAACATGATTATTAAGAGTATCTTGCTCCTGGTTATTCAGGAACTACTCTCCTCAGAACTGTTTGACAAGTTAAGGCATCGAATTCACTTGTTAAGTTTTTATTCAAGTCTATTATCTCACCCTGTATTTTCTTTCATTAGGTTTTTCTGTTTTATAGTAAACTTAAAAATGGTAAATAAGGAGGGAGAACTTAACATGGAAAGCAGCTTTTTAGCTAGAAGAAAAGTAGGTTTGACTTCACCATCCAGTAGCAAATTTTCGTGGCTTAATGAGCATCAAAGGCAAAGACGGGAAATAAGGAAGAAAGTAGTAAAGAAAAAAAAAGACTACCTCATAGCCAATCCATATTACTGAAAGCAGCACTGTCACTGCAAGGGAATTCGTAAATTTCCTGTACAATTCAAGTTTTGCCAAACTTTTCCGAATCTGCGCACAGAATGGATAAATGGACAAAACCACTTTAATTGACAGCCAACCAAATGAAATGCAAATTATACATTATTTAAAAGTGAACATGTAGAAGCATCACTAACAATCTATAGGAAAACAATGATCTTATTTTGAAACTCTGAGCATTCTTCAGTTACCCGTTTTTTATTCATCCTAGGATCAAAACTCTCTAAAACACACAAAAGCCATTTCCTAAATGTACCCTTTTTTTCCTTTGTTAAACCATCATAATACTTTTGTAAATATGTCAATGATAACAAATATAATCGACACAAATATGTCTAAAATGTGCCTATTCTAGAATTTCATAGATTGGAATTGAGCTCATTGAAGTGGTACCTCTCTCACAAGCTAACTAGTGTGGGAGACAATATTTATACCAGTGCGTGAATGGCAATAGCATACTAGGTTACCTGAAGCTTCTCCAGGGTTTTAGATAATGATGAAAAGATCCAAAGAATAAAACTTGCATCTAACAGAGCAACAGGCAGCACCAGGAAAAGTCTTGTTTTTCCAGAGAAGTCATTAATATTACCCAGATGTTCCACCAGCTCAAGTGCTTCAGAGGCCACAAAATACCCTGCACCAAGAAGGAGGACTCTTGAGGTTATACCACCAAGTGTTGGGCGCACAACACCATAACCCATAGAGACAACCAGAAGAAGAAGCCGTGAGACTGTTTTCTTGACAGCAGTGAAGGTAACAGCCCATAATGTAATTACCATTGGCCTGCTTCCGGTTGAATTGAAATTTGCATACTCAAAATACCATAGGGCCATTTCGCACATCCCAAGTCCAATAACAGCAGTAATGTGGTAATGTAACTGTATTACATCTTTCCAGTATTGCACAAACCAGAGAAACCAGACCAGACCAAGAAGAAGGTATGCCAAAGACATTAAACCATAAAATGTCATTAACGGCGTCATCTTCCCCGGTAGATAACCATCCGGATTTCTCCAAACAGTTCTTCCAGAGATTATTGTGTCCTTCAGTTGAGGATCACAAAACATAAAATACAGGTAATACATTCCAGTGCTGTTTATCTCAACAGTTTGAATAACCATTTTAGTCTCTTCATTTTGCCCTTCGAAAAATGTCTGTAACCGTTTAGGCCCATCCGGATCATCCTGATTTTGGCGGATGATAACCTCTCCTAACTTGCATGAACCTTCCTTGGCAAGTTCTGGGGTGCAGCATATAGCATCAGAGTTCAGATAAGTGCCCCCAATGTTTTTCCTATCTCTTACCTTAACTATTATAGCTTCCACCAACCCTGTCTTTTGCTGCATTTCATATTTCTTTTCAATAGATTCTTTTGTTCTTCGAAAGGTGATAGACTCAAACCTGATTGAGCACAAAACATTAACTACTTTTAACTGTATTTCTTTTCCTCACATAAATATATAGAATCCATGAATTTCCATTTTGTTAAACTAAATGCTCTCTAGTGGCAATCTGTTTAAGTCAAAGAGAGGTGACGGTTCAGCTACAGAATAACATTAGCTAATTTACACAACAAACAAATCAAAATATCACTATCATTTTGTGCATTTACTCGATTAGAAATTCATATTTCCCAAATCTGAGTCAAACGGAGCATCCAAGGACCCCCAAAAAAAATATGATTTTTTTCATGGAAAAGGGTGATAAGAAAAGGAAAAGGACGAAACTCAATCTGTTTCCCGAGAAAGAAACGGATCAAACATTCCCATTTTGTGGATGGAACAATAAGAACAAAGAGAGTAAGAAGGAATACCTGATGAAGGATTTGCCATTGAGGGACTTTTCTTCGGAAGGTTGAGTGTCGTTGAAGGAGGTGACTCTGGAAGCATAGAGACCCTCACTGCCGCCATGGAAGAAGAATGAATTAGCACGGTGGATAAAGGTCTCGTTTTGGTAGTCGTGGATCGAAGCAATCACATGGGTAATTGAGGTCAGATAAAGGATCACAGAGATGGTGACCAAGTACCCATTTGAACCCAGATCACCCATCGTCATCTCTCTTTCTCTCTCTCTCTCTTGCTGATCCAAACTCGACAATGGCCTCTCTCTCTCTCTCTCTCTCTCTCTCTCTCTCTCTCTCTCTGAATGTGTAAAACAGTAAAAAGATCAGAATTTGCAGTGAGAGTGAGGTTGATGACAAAAAATGCAATAAAGAAAACACTGATTTGCGTTTCTATCGTACGAGAATGAGCAGAACTTAATACGTGGCATACTACATTAAAACTTAAAAAAGTAAAATATACATATATAAATGAAAGGAAAAAGCGGATATTACTTTAAAAGATGTAAAGTTATGTAGTGAGAGAAAAAGATAGATTGAATGCATTCTTGGGGAGGGGGCTGAACCTGTAGCCATCACTGTTCCCCCGCACTCCGGATTAGTCTCATAGCCGGCTCAAAGAGTCGAAGCTCGTGGAGATACCGGAGGGAGCCAACTCGTCTCAAAGAGATAAAAGGAGAAAGAGTGGACAAAAAAATAAAGATGTGGATCTCATCTCTGTATGAAAGTGAAAAGATATAAGTTGTGTTATTTAAATGGATAAACATTTTTTCCATAATCAAATAGAAGTGACCATATTAAATACTAAATGAAAAACAAGTATAATGTTGTATGACAATTCTATTGTCAAGATAATTAGTATGGGTTCTTTATTTTTAAAATAAATAAAAGAAAAACAATATAGCATAAATATTAATATATGTGTATGAAATTCAATTTTTGTCATACAATACGATAAATGCAAAATCTATTATTTAAATATATAATTATATGTTAATAAGTATGTCTGAAAAAAAAAATATGTCATTTTAAATAGGGAAAATTTCAATTTCACCCATTGTGATTTATCATTTGACCTCCCGTGATTTTAAACTTATCATTTAGACTCATTATGCTTAAATACTTTATTATTTAACCCTCCTGTGGTTTCAAATTTGAACTTAGACTCCTTGTGTTACAAAAATTTTCATTTAGATCCCTTGTTACAAAAATAAAAATTTTAAAAAATAAATAACAGGAAAATAAATTTTTTCTCTTTTTATTTTATATCCTCACCTAATGCATTTAAGGTTTAAAAAATAAAAATAAATTCTAAAAAAATTCACATATTTTTATCAAGAAAATAAATTCAAATCAAATATTTTTATTTTATCTATTTAAAGAAAGTAAATATCTTATTTTGATAATACATATTTAATTTATCATAAATAATATTTTTTTAATTTCATCTTAAATAATTTTTTTAATTTCAAATATATTTTTAAAATAAAAAAATTAAGATAATTCATAAATTAACACTTGAATAAATAACTTAAAATATTTTTTAAACCCTAAATGCATTACATGAGGATATAAAATAAAAAAAAGACAAAAAATTTATTTTAAATATGTTTTTAAAATTTTTATATTTTAAACCACAAGGGGTTTAAGTAAAATTTTTTGTAACCACAAAGGATCTAAGTGAAAATTTAAAACCATGAGGGGTTAAATGATAAATTATTTGAGCACAATGGGTCTAAGTGATAAGTTTAAAACCACGGGATCAAATGATAAATCACAAAACCACAATAGGAGAAAATAAAATTTTCCCTTTTAAATAATGCAAGTTTGTCATTTCATAAACACAAAAGTCCTAGTGAAAAAAAAAATAAAGACAAAGAAAAATAAAGATATAAATCTCACATTTTTGTGTCTATAAAATAACACAATTTGTATCATTTAGAATGATATACATTTTTTCACCAAAAAATAAAATGACATACATTTAAAAAAAAAAAAAAATAGTCCGATGTTCTTTCATATATTGAAATGAGTAAATATAATTTTAACATAATTAATTCCCACAAATCCCAGTCTCGAGTTTTGACTTTCGATTATCATTATTATTTTTTATATATAAAACAAGACGAATAGTAAGTACCCAAGAATAAATAAGGATTATTCCTTTTTATCACAAATTAAAATTTATTAAAAGAAAAGCTCAGTGTCCCTCATATTTTTAATAATAATAATAAATTTATCATAAATAAAAAATACCATATTTACTTGAAATTAACTTATTATACGTTAAGAGAACAGTCCCAGCGTAAAATTGGAGTTTATCTTTGGTATATCAGTATTACATATTATTTTCATTTAAAATCTAACATATGGATTTAAGACCCCTCTTTTTTCTATTACATGTCAGTATTGATATTTGTTGTTTGATTTTAATTGGAAGAATATATAGAAAACTGGTAGAAATTTCCATAAAATTGGGGAATCCTTGCTTGTGGCCTTCAAAATTTTTATTAAGAGAAATTCTATAGGTGGAAGATAATACTCCAATTAAGATACTCAATCACATAAAAAGACAAATTCTTTTCCCAGATGCATATGCTTAAGTATTGACTCAGCTGAAATAAGTTTTTAAAAGTTAAAATTTAATAAAATCTTACTTGAAACCAGTAATGTCTGCACTGCTGGGTATAGTCTAGTGGTGTTGGGTGTGTTTAGGGGATGTTAGGTTTGCTGTTCGATTCTATGTAATATTCAAAAAAAAATAGTGTCTTAAAAAAAAAACTGATGTATCTATGTTATCAATTGAAAAAAAAAATATTAGAAGAAATAAATTATAAATTTAATTTGTAATTTTAAATCCCAAAACCAGGAAGAATAACTAAATGAAAATTTAATTTTATTAAATATGTTAAAACTTCGTATTAAAGTTTGATGATGGATATTTTTCTTATCAAAATTTTTCACTACTAACTTTCTACCTATGTAATCATCGTTGGATCAAAAAGAGAGAATGCTAACAAATTTTTGAAAAGAGAGAAAATGTTAATCCAATGATGATTAGATAGGTAGTAAGTTGGTAATGAAAAATTTTAATAATGAAAATATCCTCCCTCGTTAAAGTTTAGCTTTAAATTATCAATTCTCTTGAGCCGCCTGTGTCCATAAATTATTAAATAAGTAATATATTTGAAGTGTAATCCCAAGAGTTGGTTCAAGTGACAACCACAAGGACGGATAAATTATATTTAAAATTTGAAAATAATTTATTTATGAGGTCAAAGCTGGATAATTTTCACGCCATTCAATTTGAGATTAATCTTATACCTACATAGATTCCTTTATTGATTAGGTAATTAAGGTCATGAAAATTGACATTCATAATAATAATAAAATAATATATTTAAAATGGGTCCGCCTGAGTTGGGTCCAGCACGAGGCCGCCATATTCTGTGCGTTTCGGGCAGCTTCGCGAGAAAACAGATCTAGTTGTGTGGTGTGTTTTCTTGTGTACAAAATATTCATATATTGTTATTAAATTCCCAATTTGGGTACGGTACGAGTAGTACTTTATTTTAACTTTGCCTTTGTTGACTTTTGGGGTGGTATTTAGAATTTGGTTGTATTCTGAATTTTTTGTTTGTTATTGTTAACATAAGAGATGTTATATCAGTGGTCATGGGTTTTCTACTGATTCAGAAGATAATGTGGAGGATGAGGCATATAAACCTCCTCCACCTATGTATGATACAGAAACAGAAAGTGAAGAGGAGTGCAAGGGGAAGGGTAAAGCTGCTGGAAAAAAAAAGAAAAAGAGAACGAAAAAAAAGAAGGTTGAAGATGTGGCAAGGGAAGATACAATGGAAGAGGAGGAGAAGTCAATGTCTTTCGAGGAGGGTGGGTATGGGTATAACTCTGAAGAGTTGAACACACCTCCTTCAAGTGGTGCTGAAGAGGATGAAAAGGTTGTCAATCCAAAATTTAATGTGCATGAGGAGTTTGGTCATGTGCACTTAGAGGTAGGAATGGAGTTTGCGAGTCTTCAATTATTTAAAAATGCTGTCAAAGACTACAGTATTGATCTAGGAAGACAATTCAAGTGGCTGAAGAATGACAAAGTAAGGGCCCGAGCAAAGTGTAGTAATGATGAATGTGATTGGACAATTTACTGTTCGTGGAACAACAAAATGAAAGCTTTCCAAATCAAGACTTTTAATAACATACACACTTGCTGCAGACTTTTTAGAAACAAGAGGGCAAGTAGGGATTGGGTTGCGAAAAAGTTAGAAAAAAGGCTAATGACACAACCGAACATGACAAGGGCTGAGGCCTACGACCACATGAAAGAGGAGTACAAAGTTCATGTCCATTTGAAGAAAGTGACCAAAGCACTTCAGAAAGCCAAAGCCAAAATAGAAGGGTGTGAAAAAGAACAGTACGCAAAATTGAGAGACTACTTAGGTGAGCTATTGAGAAGCAATCCAGGGTCTACATGTCAAATGCAAGTGATCCCACAACCTGATCCGAACTCCTCTCCCATATTTTCTAAGTTGTACATTTGTCTGGATGCATGCAAGAAAGGGTTCAAAGCTGGCTGCAGGCCCTTAATTGGTTTGGATGGATGTTTCTTGAAAGGATATTATGGAGGTCAATTGTTAAGTGCAGTTGGTGAGGATGCCAACAAAAGTTTCTATGTCATTGCATATGCAATTGTTGATAGTGAAACAAAAGAGAACTGGAAGTGGTTTTTAACCCTATTACAGGAAGACATTGGCCCTCACGCAGTGTTTGGATGGAATTTTATTTCTGACCAACAGAAGGTGTGTTAAGCTTGTTTCATTTCAACTTGCTTAAGTATTCAGATTGATCCAATTGTTGAATGATTTTTTTCTGCTGTTATTTACCTGCTTATTAACCCTATCATGATTACATAAACTGCATTTTTAACTGCATTGCTGATGTTAAGTGCATTGCTGATGTTTAGTGCATTTCTGATGTTAAGTGCATTCCTGATAATGTCAGGGACCAATTAGTCCCCCGTGCAATTTTCCAGGGACCATAACGACCCTCGATGGCAATTGCCAGGGACCTATTTGATCCTCGTTTATTTGAGTCAGCAACACTTTGTGGCAATCTATATATGTTTTGTGATACCTTTTTTTTGTGTCTGTGTGTAGGGGCTGATTCCAGCACTACAAGAGGTGATGCCTGGTGCATATCATCGTTTTTGTGTGCAGCACGTTGGAAGAATTTCATAAAGCAATGGAAAAACAAGGCAATTCGAGCCATAGTTTGGGAGTGTTCAAGATGCACCACTGTCCCCCAGTTCCAGCAATGCATGGCACGGTTGAAAGTAAAGAATGAGGCTGCATGGAAGTACTTGGATGGCATCCAGCCCTCAAGTTGGGTGAAAGCTTATTTCAGCCACTGGTCTAAATGTGATAATATCACAAACAACATGGCAGAGGTATGGAATGCCAAGATCGTTGGATATAGGTCAAAACCGATTATCACTCTATTGGAGGAACTGAGATGCTACATTACGAGGAGGATGACTGCACATCAGAGGGTGTTATGAACTGTTCGGGGTAAAATAGCTCCTGCTCAGCAATTGAAAATGGATCAGTTAAAGGTTCTTAGCAATTCATGGACACCCACTTGGACTGGAAATCTGCAGCAAGATATGTATGAGGTCAGTGGGAAAGGTGATAGAGTTGGAGTCAATTTAACAACACATACATGTGCATGCAATGTATGGCAGTTGACTGGACTGCCTTGTGAGCATGCTATAGCAGCAATTTGTCACAAAAACGAGCCAGCCGAGAACTATGTCCATCAATGGCTTACAGTTGATGCATTGCATGCCACATATGAGCACACCTTAAACCCAGTGAACTCGGACAAGTATTGGCCTGCATCTGATGAACCCAAACCTCTTCCACCAAAACTGAAAAGGCCAATTGGGCGACCCAAGAAACACAGGAAGAAGGACCCAACTGAAGACCAAGGGAGCATGACAAAGAAATTTAAAAGGACATATGAAGCCAAGTGTAGTAAGTGTGGTCAGACTGGACACTATGGCAAGAGTTGTAAGGGGCCAGCAGCTTCCAAAACAGACAAGAGCCAAGCAAGACCACAATCTGTGAGGATTGGCACAGACTCAGTAAATGAAATCCCATTAAGTCAAGGAGGCCCGTCAGAAATTGGTAGTTCTCAGGCACAACAAATCAACTTGAGAGGATGCAGCCCACCTCCTTCAAATCCAGAAGAAGCAAATGCAGTGTTGACTGAAGAGACAATTAAGGCAGCCAGCACTGGCACACGAAGCAGATTTATGCACTTCATGACAACACCTGGTTTTATGCCACCAAGGCGATCCTCAAGAAAATGAGCTGCTGATGAAGACGAACAAGGGAGTAGTGCATGAGCCAACTGAAAATGAGTGGATATAATGCCCTTTTTTTGTACATTCTGGCCATTTTTTTTTGGAGGCCTTTTACAGATATAATGTAATCATTTTGATGCATGGCCAAGATTGTATTTATAGGCCTCACTTGTAATTTCTATCAGTTGGCTTTTATTTGTAATGCACTACTGGTTTCTAGTTGTAGGAAGACAATTATATGTAACTGGTTTATTTCTAGACATGCATGTTATGTGGCAGGGTTGATGAATGTGATAAGTTCATGTCCATTTTATGTTTTTTAACTGAGTCAGCTTGTTGTTGGTCATTTAGCTGCCATATTTGCATTCTGGTGCAGGTTTGTGCTGTGTTACTGATTAAACAAATCATGTCCAATTTTCTGGATGCAGGGACCAATTAGGACCCCGACAATCATTGTCAGGGACCAATTTGGACCCCTACATGCTGCATTTCTGATATCATGCACTTCTATTTTGTTGATCTGGACTGCATTCAAAAGCATATAAGTCAGGGACAACAAGTGTATCTGATGTAATGCACTACTGTTTTTTAAAATGAGTGCTGCATTTTGTTGATTTGGACATCAACAACTCATGTCCTATAATTCTGGAATCAGGGACCAATAAGTGCCCCATGTACTTTGTCAGGGACCAAAACGACTCTCGACTAACATTGCCAGGGACCTAATTGGTTCTCGTGTTTTGCAATCAGTAACAAAATATGTATAACAGTATGCAACTTCTGTATCAGCAATGTCATGAGTTATGTGTCTATATCAGTAGCAATCTATATCTGTTTGTGATACAATGTAGCAATCTTTTATCCTTCATTTGATGCCTAACTATGCAATAATATATAATGCCATAATATATTAAGGAATACATTCAAGGCTTTTTTATAATAGGCCATATGATAATACACACAAATAGATTTGAACTAACACATAATTTGTATAACAACAGGAAAGAGTACTCATTACAATTCACTGAAGCAAAAATACATTTGGGTCACTTGTTTTCACTTTTACCACACTAACAACAAACATACAGATCATGATCACACCCACACAAGCACCTAAGACCCTAGCTGACCTATCAACTGTCCTAATTTTTTTGTCCATCCTATCTAACTCCTCCACCATCTTCAGGTATACATCATTCAGTTTTCTGTCCTGCTGATGAAGCTTCATTCCTTGCTCAGTAATCTTCACATCTTGCTCTCTCATCATCATCTCCACATACTTCAACTTGAAGTTAATTTCAGCAACATCCAACTCCACAGTGTGAATTCTTGCTTCTTCCAGTTCCATGGGTTCATTACACATGTCATCTACCCATCTAAAAAAATCACAATAGGGCTTCTTCACCTGAAAAAATAAACACCATGGTTAGCAAGTGCTCCAACTCAATAAAGGGGTAGATTACAAATTCGTACCTTGAAGTTAGGACACCCAAGGAAAGCCCTGTTTGGGTTCCTCTCAGTTTTGGAGGTATAGACAATACTTTGTCTCCCACATTTGCACCTCCAACCAGTGGTCCTTGCCATTGTTCTTCCCCCCATTGATTTACTCTCACTTGACCCCCCATGCCAGAAGAAACACTCATCTTCTCCCACGCCCAGAAATCCGGTTGATGGCTTAATGTCTTTCGTCGAGTTTCAATCATCAAAGTGCAAACTTTCTGGCGGCGTTTTGCTGTTTACAGATTTGCTCATCAATTTGGGGGATGGAGTTTCCGGTTTAGGGTTCTATTGAAGGCATTTGGGTTTTTTTCAATTTTAGGGTTCATTATTTGGGTTTTATCAATTAATTGCATTCAAGTAAAACGACGTCGTGCTTTCCATGGGTGTCTACCGTCGTCGTCCAGCTTTCCACCCTGTCCACTGTGGAGTCCGCGTCAGCAGATAACGTGCCACATGAGCACCGTTAGTTTGACCGTGACGGAGGAGTTGACAGGACTAACGTGGCCCTTTTTTCATAACTTTAGGGACCAATTTGGTACTTTTACATTGTCAGGGACAAATGGATTTCGCTAATATTACTAGGGACCAAAAAGGGTATTTACTCTTAAATTTAATAAATCTTGTTTATAATTAATCATTAATCAAATTTACTTCTAATTACTAATGGAATTTGTTTTGGCCAGCCCAATTGATTAGCTCAACAAGATAGTCCCAATATCAAGGGTATCAACCACCTTAGCCTTACTAACCATGTTGCGTCAACTCGCTGTGCCAGCACTGACACCCTTTGCACTGCTATCAGACACCCCAACGTAAGACACCAAAATATCTTGTATTGGGAGACTCTCATCTCCCCTTTTGTCTCCCTTCTCATCCTCCCATGCACACCTTTTGTTGTTAGTATTGCAACAACTGCAAAGTGGCTTGTCCATGCAAGTGTTGGAAATCGACACACAAATTACGAAACTAGAAAATAGAAAAGAAGATGAAATTGACACAGTGATTCACCTGGTTCAGTCAATGTAGGCTACATCCAGCTTCAGTTGGCTTTCTACTTACCTCGCCAACAAGAGTTTTCATCTGAATGTGAAATATGAGTTATATCCAACAATAAGGTCAAGCTACCTTAGCTCTTCCTCATAATAGTTGACTTGTCTTACTTTCCCAATAAATTGGAACCTATAAATATCCCCCCATTTTTTATCATCAACACATACAATATTACTATTCCATGAGCCATTACTTTGTCAACTTGGAGAGCCATTATAGCCACTTAAACTACACTCCATTTATACACATTGCACCTATGACTCCTTTGTATAGCCATGGTCAATATCATTGTTGTTAAAGGCACCATATAGTGACCATTGTTGTTAAAGGCACCATCACTTTGCCCTTTGGGGTTATATATCTGGGAATAGTGACCATAATGCCACTATTCCCAAAACTATTTTCCAATATGGCACGCAAACAGTAAAAATTCCCAATATGTTACACGTACAAATTCGCTACATCATGTAGCGAACTTCCTATGCTGATGTGGCACATTTCTGGTGGTCACCTAATTTGCTAGTAGTACAAGCGAACTAGGTGGTCAAATGTCAGTCCCTGCTCTGAGAAATTCAGGACACGTGGCAGCCTCATAGAAATTCGCTAGGAGGCATAGCAAACTAATTCCAACGGCTAGAAAAAAATAGACGTTGGGTCACGTGTCAGACATGCACAAATTCACTACACAGTGTAGCGAACTATATTTAATGGATACCCACCGATTGGCTAACCCCCCCCCCCCCAACTCTCTCACACTCTTCTAATTAAAATATTTCTCTTGTCTTTCTCTATACAAAATTATACTTGTTCTCTCTGTGTACACCAACGTCTACATTTTATTTCTCACAAGGTTAGTGTTTTATATATTGTTATTTATGCATTATTAGTGTTTTATATTTTATTATTTATGCATTGTTATTTTGTTATATTATTTATTTCAAGAGTTGAAACTTGAGGTTAGAAGATGTGTTATTTTTTTGAAACCATAGGATAGTTGATGTATTGTTTTATATTGTAAAGTTAAATTTATAAACGCCATTTAAGTATGTTTTATATTTTATATTTTAATAATATTTATTTTAGGACTTGACACCATAGGTTAGAGGATATTTTTTTTTAAACTGTAGGATAAAGCTCATGTGTTAATGTTATTATTTCAATTAAAACTCTAAGATGATGTTATTATATTAATTAAAACTCTAGGATAGTTGGTGAATTTATTATATATTTTAAAAATATAATTTTAAATTATGTTTTATATTTTTAAAAATTTATTTTAGGTCTCGAAACCCTAAGTTAGAGGACATGTTATTTTTTGGTGAATTAATATCTAGGATAGTTGGTGAATTATTTAATATTTTAAAATTTAAAATATAAGTTATTTTATATTTTATATTTTATATTTTAATATTATTGCTACTATTATTATATGTTATTGCGATTGTTTAGGTTATTAGTTATAAAAAAGGCTAATATCATTTAATTATTCTTCTAAATAGATCTATGGAGCATAATGATCTTCCACGTCCTAGGTTTCCACGATGTTTGATTGACCTCGGTCCCTCGGACCGTTCTCTCCTAACATTACTGGAGAAACATATATCCACTCATGTGTGGAATACCTCTGAGGATCTCGATGAGCA